TTCTCCCATCAATAAATATCACAGTGAAACATAAAGAACATTTCCTGTTAGTAAAAAAAACAATAAAAACTCTAGGTGTGGTTTTATGGTGCTTGATTTCCTACACCTTCTACCTTATTTTATTTATTCTCAGGTTAGGTAAAGTAAGTCAAATCTGTCCTATCTCATAAGCATCCGAGTTGTCATACTTACAAAATAGATCACAGAAGACTTCTGCGCGGTCTGTTCTGCTCTAGTTCAGAAATCAGAGTCTTTTTTGGCAGGAGAGCTTCTTAGTTATAATATAGTTTTATTGTCTACAGGTTAAACACTTTACATACAAAATACTAATATGAAAACAGAAATAAAAACAAAAGCATATCATTTGCAAGCTTGGTTGCTGAGAGGCATCAATGGCAAGGCCGCCGATTCCAATGTCTTGTGAAAGGTCTGGAAATGCCCTCCATTTTCTCATTTTTCTCCTCCGTGATCTTCTTCTTTGACGCCTTCTCCACTTCGTCTGCAACACAGCATTCAATGGTAACATCCCTTTTCTTCAAAGCTCTTGCTAATACATGTTTCATCTCTAGCTATACTCTTGCTAATATATGTTATAAACATTTGATCAATAAAGGCTTAAAACAATAACATGTGTGGTGTGTCTTAATAAACCACTTTCTTAACAAAACAAATACAATAACGTGTTCGGTTATAATACAAAAGTATTGCATAAAAGGAAAAGGCATACTTGCAACAGGACAATTGCATATTTTCTTCAACAGTGTACACCAAACATACCAAATGTCATTTCTAATGCCATCAGATACATGCAGATGTCCAAAAATCTAGTTCTTGCAAACATGCTGCACATTTGTCAAGGTGATTTTTTTCAAATGCGAAGCACTAAACTTTTCATTGTTTCATTGTTCAGGTTATGCAATAAGTTTCTGTGAAACTGTTACAATGTAATTTTTATTTTTCAGATGAGTTATGAAAAAGACATCTACTGTATATTGTCAGACAATAGACATTTTGTTCATACATATATTGTCTGTGTTTTTCTGTCAATATGGGGTGCTGTGTGTACATTAATGAGGAAAAAAAATTAACTTAAATGATTTTAGCAAATGGCTGCAATATAACAAAGAGTGAAAAATTTAAGGGGGTCTGAATACTTTCCGTACCCACTGTATTATGTGGATTTGAGAGGATTTCAAACTGAAGTGAGGAACAGAAAAATCATTTTAACAGTAAATCAAGCTTATTTCATTTCTTCAATTAAAGGCATTTATCCAAACTCTCAATAGCATCCTGTTTTGAGTATCTTCTCCATGCATGTGGTATTTTACCACATCCCTGAAATGTTTTCATGTAGTATTTCTCCAGATCTCTCTGGAATCTGCACACAAACCACTTCCAGTAGGGCAGTTCAGAGACATCAGGGGTGATGCTCCAGTATGCATAAACTCCTCCTGCTCTTCTGTACTCTTTCCAGGGGACTTTATCATCTGATCCATCGGGATAAAGCCATCGATCACTCACTACTGCTGTGGTACAGATGTTAATACACAAGTTTGTTGTTCCTCTGTACAAATATCCATTAATTCCAGTCACTCTGTGGAAAGCAACACTGTGATCTCCAGGATGGTTTTCTATGGTGTTGGTGCAGATAGCTTTACAGAACGGACACTGAACCCAACAGCACTGACAGAAGTGATCAATCAGAAGCTCATCTGGCCTGAACTTATAATCCAAATTTACTGGAAATGACTTTGTGTTGAATCTACAGCTGATGTCAGACATTATAGCAGCAAGTTCTTTTCTTATCACCTCTTCTAGGAGGTTCCTCTGTTCACTTGAACATGTTCAGTAGATTTATGAGCTGCTTTCATGATCTTCTGCTGCAGGAGTTTAATGTTATCCTTCATCTTGGGTAAAACACTGACACTGAACTGATCAGTGATGTACCGCCTGACTTCATCTCTGATGAAACTCTTGTAGTGATCTCTGGTATTATGAATGTAGTTCATGTATTTGTTGAAATCCTCCTCTTCTGCCAGTGTCTTCAGGATGTGTTTCTCCAGATTTGATCTGTTTCCATTCAGTGATTGACAGTCTGTTCTCATATAATTTGCTAAATATCTGGCAGTCTTCTTGTAGACGCTCTGCTCAATGAGCTCTTTCAGTTTCTCACAGATGATCTTACCAAAAATAGCAGCTGATGCAGCTCCATGACAGTATTTCAGGAAAACACTATAATACTCTTCTCTCTCCTTCTCAACATATATTACAGGATCATTGGCTTCTCTGGACAGTCTGTGTTGGTCAGTGATCTTCTTGTTTGCTCTCTTACAGATGGACAGAACCAAATCTATGAAGAATTCATTCTTGAACACATAATTCACTTGCCCTTCCTCATGTTTTTGTCTTGTCTTAATGTAATCTGTGAGTAGCTGGATGCAGCTGATGTTGTAGCCCATCTTTGAAATGTTAAATGACTGAATGATTGTGTCTGTCTGCTGAGCAACATCTGTGACGAAATATCTTATTTGAGATGCATCCTCTTTAGAGAGAATGTCATGAAACACCTCTTTATCTGATCTGTAGACCTTTGTAAAAGCACCTGCAATTCCACTGGGTTTCTTTAGTTTTACATAATCTGAATAACTCGACACAGTGAAAATATCCCTGCTCTCCCTCCAGTAACCTACAGGAAGACTGTCATAGACGTCACTGAGTATCTCTCTCACATCTCTCATTATGTCAATGTCTCTGACTGCAGGAGTGGTTCTGATGATCATCTTCATCCACTGTTTCCAAAACAAATCAAACTCTTTCTTCAGTGTTTCTCCATCATTTGCTTTGTCTCTGAGTTTAAAGGTGAGTTCTTTGCTCTTTTCACAGAGAGTGTTTTCATGATGTGTCCTCTGAGCATCAATCTTTTTCTTCAGGTCTCGCTGCTGAAGAATCGCATTTAATTTCCTCTTTGTTTCTCTCACAATGTTTTCCTGAAGCTCTTTGATTTTGATTTCAAATGATGTTTTCCACTGAATCAGTATATCTTTATCTCTGTCTTTCTCAAATAATTCAGACATTGATTTTTTCACTTCTTCTCTTGTCTCCTTTAGTTCTCTGTGAAGATCAGTTTCCTCAACTTCATGAATTGCTTCATTTTCTATTTTGTTGTATAGTTTGTTCTCAGATTCCATCATGGCACTGCGAAGACTCCAGGACCACTTCCTGTATTCAGTCTCTAGTTTCCTGTAAGCTGAAATCTTCAGAGAGTTTCTGAAGCTAAAGACAAATCGTTCATTCAGTAAATCCTCCCAGAGATCTTTAATATGATCTTTGAAGTCATTCAGCACTATTCCATGTGATTCTGAGGCATGAGACATTATAGTTTCCTTTAGTTGTTGAATATTCTCACAGTATTTTGGGTTTGGTGGAGCCATCGGTGGGTTTCCCTCCCAGAGCTGAGGAATATACTTCACATCTTTCTGAACATCAAATCTAATCATCTTTAACAGCGAGTTTTGTCATTTCATCCAGTGTCTCCTGCAGTCGTCTCCTTGCCTTCATGTTTCTCTCTCCAGCTGTGTCATCCCAAACGTTCTGATGCACAAACACACAACTGGGATTCAGTCTGACCTTCTTCATCCTCATGAAGTGTACAGAATAACCTCATCTGTGTACAGAATACTTTCAATATTATTATGTTGTTCTAAGTCTAACCTGCTCACATAGGCACCTACAGTATATATGGCCAGAATGTGAGAAATCCAGTATGTACAGTTAACACTCTTCATACTTCTACACAACAGTCAATCATCTTTAAGTATTCTTGTGCTAACAGGTGTCTGGGCCCGGGGCTGTGCAGAGCCATCAAAATGTTGAGAAAATGAGAAGAATGAAATAAGAATTAGGAAGCAAATAATTGCTGGCTGTCACACGACAGGTAAAAACAGACCACTTTAACAGCAGTTTCCAGTAAGTCACATTGTTTCTAGCTGAACTATGCCCTGCTCTTCATAAAAGCAAAAAATAAAAAAATTAATAAAATAATAATAAGTATTATAATATAATAATAGCGACACACCGCTAGACCAAGCCCAGGAAGAAGTGACGCCTCTAGTTGAGTGGGCTCTTACTCCCATGGGGCATTGCCTTTAGGTACATAACCATGCCTTGGCTTCTGGACGACTTTAGAGTCGCTGGGCCCAAATTAAAAACAGGAGGGGCTCACGGAGAGCACCTGCAGATCTCCCATACGCTTTACCGATGCTAACGCTAGTAGAAGAGCGGTTTTTAGCATCAGGGAACGAAGGTCCGTGGACTGAAACGGCTCAAAAGGAGGGCTCTTCAGAGCCCCCAGAACCGTGGGCAGATCCCATACAGGGCGAGGCGGGTTGAGTCTCCTAGACCCCTTCAAAAAACGAACAACTAGGTTGTTCCTGCCTACCGATTGGCTGGCTATGGGAGCGTGGGATGCTGCTATGGCCACTACATAGACCTTAAGCGTGGAAGGGGAAGGACCCTTGTCCAACAGTTCTTGCAGAAAGGACAATATCAGCTATATGTCGCAGGAAATTCAAGGATTCTCACGGAGAGCACCTGCAGATCTCCCATACGCTTTACCGATGCTAACGCTAGTAGAAGAGCGGTTTTTAGCATCAGGGAACGAAGGTCCGTGGACTGAAACGGCTCAAAAGGAGGGCTCTTCAGAGCCCCCAGAACCGTGGGCAGATCCCATACAGGGCGAGGCGGGTTGAGTCTCCTAGACCCCTTCAAAAAACGAACAACTAGGTTGTTCCTGCCTACCGATTGGCTGGCTATGGGAGCGTGGGATGCTGCTATGGCCACTACATAGACCTTAAGCGTGGAAGGGGAAGGACCCTTGTCCAACAGTTCTTGCAGAAAGGACAATATCAGCTATATGTCGCAGGAAATTCAAGGATTCAAGGATTCAAAGCGTTTATTGTCATATGCCCAGTGAGGAAAACAATTTTCCCTGAGCAATGAAATTCTTACTTTGCTGTCCACAGTGAATGCCCTGACAAGTGAAAAAACTATACACACATACACAAACTATACACACATACATACACGATTATACACACACATACATACATACATACAAACGTTAAAAAAAACATAATAATAAAAACTATGCTGTTGGAGTAGGAATATAGACTACGAAAAAATAGAAATATAGACTATGTATATCTATATATGCGAGTATAGAGTAGGAATATAGACTATGAAAAAATAGAAATATAGATTATGCATATCTATATATGCGAATGTGAAATTGGGTCTGCGCTGCGGGCTGTACACCAGGCGGAGAAGACAGACCATTTAAGGGCATAGAGTTGTCTCGTAGACGGTGCCGTAGCCTGAGAGACTGTATTTAATATGCTCATGGGGAGGTCCACAGGCTCCCATCAAGAGGCCAAAGGTGCAGAGCCCACAGCTCGGGCTGGGGGTGCCATATTATTCTGTTCGCCTGAGAGGGAAGGTCCCGTCTCAGGGGGATGGGCCACAGAGCTGCTACTAGCAGCTGAGACAGCTCTGCAAACCAATGCTGGTTCCTCCAGAGCGGGGCCACTAACAGAACCTTGTGCTCTTGCTCCCTGATTCGCCTGATTACCTGCGGGATCAGGGTGATCGGGGGGAAAGCGTAAAGGAGGAGGGGATGAGAGGCTCCTATTTTGAAAGAGGCCGCGGTGCTGCTGAATAGCCAGTTAACGTTCTGGCGCGACCGTCGCCCTCATTTGGGCCGAGTCGAAAATTGCTCCCAGGAACGATACCCGGTGGCAGACAGATATATATATCTGCACTATGAACTAGGCCATCAAAATGTTGAGAAAATGAGAAGAATGAAATAAGAATTAGGAAGCAAATGATTGCTGGCTGTCACACGACAGGTAAAAACAGACCACTTTAACAGCAGTTTCCAGTAAGTCACATTGTTTCTGGCTGAACTATGCCCTGCGCTTCATAAAAGCAAAAAAAAATTAAAATAATAATAATAATAATAATAATAAATAAATAAAAAATAAACCTGGAAAACGCTGATTTACTCACATTATTTGTGATCTCCACAACAAAACGTACTCGGTTACTAACGTAACCTCGGTTCCCTGAGATACGGGAAAGAGTACTGCGTCGCAGACGCTATGGGGGAAAACTCCCTTTTCTCAGATGACTGAAGCCTTTTCAATAACGCTGTCTAATTGCACGGCCATTG